ATGTCATGAAAACCTAGGTCATTAAAGGATGTCATGAATTATTTGCTCAAACATAAAGTATTAGTTCCATTACAGTTACCAATCTGAGTTTTAATCTAGTATGTCATACTTTCTTTCTTACAGCAAAGAGAGAAATGTTACTCACAACTCCATCTCCCAAGTCCAGCCCAAAACGCTGCCCCACTGAGAATTACTCCACTGCTTTTGGTCACCTGATGCCACGAGAACAATACCTGCTCCACAGGTGAGAAACGTCTCATTAGAAGTAACATTTACATCATAATGAAAAATAAATAAAAACTTAGTTTAAGCTTGGAGAGCACCCGTGTTGAAAATAAATTTAAAGTCTCATTGTGTGCTGTCATTAGGCTTGATGGAGAAGTTGATAAGAGACGTCACTCGTTTCACAGCAGCAGTCCCAGGAAGAGACTCCAGTTCACTTCAGCACACAAAGATGGTAACAGTTTTTTTATTCACTCACTTTTATAGTATATATCAAGAGATTTGTGACAGTCTCTGTGCCCATAAAGTTTGTATTTATTTCCTACTCTGCACAGAGCAGAGCAAGGACAGAAGCACTACAGAGGTGGGGTGTTTCAGTCCATTGCTCTGAAACCTATTATGTTTCATAAGTATTTGTGTTTTGTAAAACAGAACTTGTAACTTGCAAAACAATTTGAAATTTGTAACCGTACTTGTGATTTGGAACTGTGAACTTGTGGTTTGTAACCATGGACTTGTAATTGTAATATTTTTTAATCTATTACACATACAAAACAGCAGTTACACCTCTTCAGATTGTTAAATGCAAGTTCACAAATAGTATTGTCCTGATGCATTTCAGTAATCCAGGTAGAAAAAATCAAAAAGAAAAAATCAGTAGGTCCTCTGGATGGTTCTTCTTTAGTGAAACATTTTCTCTCTCCTCCCTGAGACTTCTTCAGTCTGATGAGTTTCAGGTGAACTCAGCCTTATAAGCTCCGCCTCCACATGGTGGACAAACAGGTTAGTCAAAGAGGACCTTCGCCTAACAATAGGCTTGATTATCTCTATTGTTCATAGAGGGTCATGTGCCCCATCAGCTGACTTATTGATTAGGATGCTTCAGCTGTGGTTATTTGGTGTTGTGTTATGTGTACGTAGTGAGTGCAAGCAGGGTTCAAAGTCCCCTTGTTTTTGTGCCTTTATCCGTATTTGTGTTGGTATCGTTGGGGCCCTGATTCACACATTTTGCACACAGGGGGCGGAGTCATACTTGCAATAACAGTATTGTAGCATGTTTCTATGTCGTTAAGACGTGCTTGTAACTGGTTGGATTCATCAGGTTTCATGGATAAATATAACTGAGTATCATCAGCATAACAATGGAAACTTATCCCATGCTGTTTAATAACGTTACCTAATGGAAGCATAAGTAAGTAAATAAGTAAGTAAAGTTTTATTTATAAAGCACCTTTCACAGAAATATATTCACAAGGTGCTGTACAATCATGAACAGTATAAAAATAGTGGAAATAATAAAATGAAACAGAAAAACATAATTACACATAAGCAACGAAATTAGAAACTATCAGGTTTTCAGATGGATGTCGACGTGAGCAAATACCAATGATAAGAGACTGAGACAGAGAATATAAAAAGTAAGTGATTTTATTTACAACAGTGCTGGGATCTGGGGACGGGACCTGAAACAGAGGGTTTGCAGAGATGAGTAATAGGTAGGTTTTCCGGTATGGTTTTGAGCAGGTAATAATTTGAAGATGAGGCTTACGGGTTGGTGAAGGAGATGAAACTTGGAGGAGGAGGTCCGACAGGTGAAGTTCCACAGGTGAGTATTTTACAAGTGCAGAGTTATTTACAGTGTTTTGTTGGAGGCAGCGCATGAGATCCAGGTGAGTTTGGCTCGGTTTCCAAGGTGAGGTTTAAAGTACTGGAGGTCGCTTCTGAAAACAAGTAAGCACAGGTACAAAGGTAAGAAAAACTCTCTAGGAGACAACAAGTAGCAGGCTGAGCTCATACCCAACAGAGGCGATGCTTCAGCGACGAGATGCACTCCAGCACTTCCTTATAAAGCCCAGGGAAGGTGATGAGCCTACTCAGTGCAGGTGTAGATAATTAGCGCAATGCCTGATCTGAGAGGCAGGGGGTGATAACATCACAAATGTCTCAGTACCCCCTCCTCAACAATCGCCTCCTGGCGATTCAAGGATGCTTCTCAGGATGATCCCTGTAGAAAGCCATGATGAGATCGGGGTCTAAGATGAAAGACCTGGGAATCCATGACCTCTCCTCTGGACCATAACCCTCCCAGTCAACCAGAAACTGATGTCCACGGCCACGGCGACGAACATCCAGGATGCGACGGACCGCGTAGATGGGTTGATTGTCCAAAAGCCGGGTGGGCGGTGGGGTGTTGGTAGATGGGTTCAGTGGACTCGAGGAGACGGGTTTTAGTTGAGATACTTGGAAGGTGGGATGTATTTTCATGTTGGAGGGTAAACGGAGTCTGACGGCAG